AATGAACACTATTAGATAGATAGATAGATAGATAATGAACACTAATAGATAGATAGATAATGAACACTATTAGATAGATAGATAATGAACACTATTAGATAGATAGATAGATAGATAGATAGATAGAACACTATTAGATAGATAGATAGATTTTTAGATAGATATTAGATAGATAGATAATAGATAGATTAGATAGATAGATAGATAGATAGATAATGAACACTATTAGATAGATAGATAGATAGATAATGATACATATTATAAATAGATAGATAGATAATGAACAGATAGATAGATAGATAGATATAGATAGATAATGAACACTAGAATAGATAGATAGATAGATAGATAAACTATTAGATAGATAGATAGATAGATAGATAATGAAATAGATAGATAGATAGATAATGAAATACTATTAAATAGATAGATAGATAGATAGATAGATAATGAACACTATTAGATAGATAGATAATAAACACTATTAGATAGATAGATAATGAACACTATTAGATAGATAGATAGATAGATAGATAATGAACACTATTAGATAGATAGATAATGAACACTATTAGATAGATAGATAGATAGATAGATAGATAGATAATGAACACTATTAGATAGATAGATAGATCGATAATGAACACTATTAGATAGATAGATAGATAGATAGATAGATAGATAGATGTAAATCAACTGAGATAGGGAGAGAGAGAAAGAATAGTAGCTATGAACACACATAGATAGATAGATAGATAGATAGAATCATCCTTTTATCTTTTATGCCACTTAAACGTGGTTGTGCGTTGGTATCAAGGTCCCACGCTTTCAGTCTCGAAACGGTTATATGTAGCCGTTTCTTCTACTCCAATAGCTTCATGTCTCGCACCTCTCGTCTGTGGAATTCCCTTCCTATTACTTGTTTCCCTGATAGATATAATCTCCAAATATTCAAATATAATGTCAATCGACATTTCCAGATGCTCTGACCTATTCCCTGTCCTTCTCTTCATCCTTTCCTCCATCACGCCTCTTTACTCTCGCTCCCACTGTAACCAAAATTATATACTAGTGGTATCCCGCCTTGCTTGGGGTGAAATATATATATATATATATATATATATATATATATATATATATATATATATATATATATATATATATTTAGGCAGCAATCCTTCGTTTATGCATGTTTCATTAAAAACGACAGACACGGTACAACGGTTAAGCTTTTATTTATTTTTTTCTTCTGTTCGAACAAGAGCTTTCTTTTCTGGACAAATAGTGTAAAAACTGTTAAAATGTTTTATATTTCCGAGCGCTTTCGGCTATACCTTTAGTCATTATCAAGGATGATTCGATTTTTCAGCTTAATTGAGTGTGTGCATTATGTGTATGTCTTAGTGTGTAGTAGGGATGTTTTAATTTCCGAATACGGTTAGCACATTGTGGCCTTGTTCGTTGTTAATATTTAAACACGCACACAAACTTACCAGACTCCATTAGAAACATACTAGTAGAAAACACAAATATATTAACTGCATCCACCTGTAAAAATGATTAAAAATAATGGAAGCTTTAATAATAAAAAAGAAAAAAAAACAACTCTTAACAATACTAACAAATAATGATATCTCCCCATATAAAAGAACTACTAACCTAAATTTCTCCTCTATAAAAGCAATTCTAAAACTTAAACCGCGCATAAATTAATACATCCACAAAACAGATTTTCTACAATGAACTAAAAAATATAAAACAAACTCTTATTAATAACTTCCCTAATTATATTGTTGATGTACAAATAATATGTTCTTTTAGAAATTTTAATATAAACAAAATAGAATATAATAATTCTTCCAATAATCTTAACCATATGAATGTTTTATACCACAATTATATACATTTTAATCATAAACAGGACGAAAATAGCTTAAAAATCTAATAAATACTAATATATCCACCACAGATCATAGTATAAGAAATAAAATTAATTATATACTATACTGAATTCAATATATGTAATTTACTCATTCGTATTGTCTCCTACCCGCCAATTAGCGTGTTGCCGAAAACCAACATTGTATATAAATTTAAATGTCCCTTGGGAGATTGTATCTCCAACAGAATATATATATATATATATATATATATATATATATATATATATATAGTTAGTCACACCACAACTCTGTTCTCTAGAATGTTGTGTTTTTATTTGAATTATTCATCTAACATCTTTCAACATTTACAGCAGCAAGTCTGTTCCCATTAAGAAAATTCTTGTTGAAAATACATCTACATTTTTTCGTCAAAATAATAAACATAAAATAAAAGTTCTTGAAGCTATCTATATTAAAAAATTGGAAACCTACCCTTAATATAACGAATTTTGAGTACTGCACAAACGTTTTAAAATGTTTACAGTAGATATCTTTAACATATCTAGGTTTTAACTAACAGTATTATACATGTTTTTTTTTCTAAAAAATAGACATCT